AAATTACACGAACGATTCTATGTTTCATAGATTTTAGGTAAATATACCAATTCTTGTAATATTCCATAGTATAACGATAATATATACACATCACAATTGAATTTGCACATAAAAAAGGATAGATACATAAAATTTAAGGTAAATTTACATACAATTGTATGCAATAGATAGTGATAGAGTGAAAACGATACACGAAATGGCGTTACCATCATTGCTGCCATATCATGTAGTGCTTTTGCGCTTAAAAAAATTTTTAATATTAAAAATATTTACAAATATTTAAAAAAATTAAAAAAATATTACATAAACATTTCTGCAAATTTATGGTCAACTGTTACTGGTGCAGCCAGTTTAATTACTATATAAAAAAATAAATTTTTATAGACACAGGAAATTTACATCTATAATAGTTGGTCCTAAAATTACATTACAAAATTTTTTACAGTGATAGCGACTATAAGGAACATTTCTTTACTTCGTTCTGTATTTCGCTAATGGCAAAGCGAATCAACTGGAACGCTCGAGCGGAAGTGGCCACGGATCGTTATGTCACACTTGTCGGTGCATTGAGATTGCGTTTCGTCGCGTGAAACTATATAAATGACCTCGATAAACATCCGTTAACCCGGAAAGGCTATAGAGGGTACCATCTAGAGATAGTTCCGCGCGCGAAGTATCCGTACGTTTTATGCAACTCATTGTAAAACATTTTGTAATGTTATTTTAGGACCAACTATTATAGGTGTAAATTTCCTGCGTCTATATAAAAAAATTTTTTTTGTATAATAATTAAACTGGCTGTACCAGTAAATTTGCAGAAACGTTTAGGTAATAATATTTTTTATTTTTTTTTAATATTTTAAATTTAAAAAATTTTTTTTGAAGCGCAAAAGCACTACATGACATGGCAGCATTACGGGTGGTAACGCCATTTCGTGTATCGTTTTCACTCATAACTATCTATTGCATACAATTGTATGTAAATTTACCTTAAATTTTTATCTATCCTTTTTTATGTTTTACAAATTCAATTGTGATGTGTATATTTTATTGTTATATTATGGAATATTATACAAGAATTGGTATATTTACCTAAAATTTATAAAACAGAATCGTTCGTATAATTTTCCATTAAATATAAAGATATATTTATTTTTTAATGTAGAAATATCTACAAAATTTTCAAATTTCCGTTATTAATTGCGTAATTTTTACACTTATTATTTATGTAATTAATACATACTTTTTTTACAGTGTATGTGAGGAGGGGTGAAAGCTCTGCTGGAGGCCGATCTCTTTCACGCGTAGATATAATAGCGAGAAAAATATTCGCATCTCGGAAAACGTGTAAACACGTCGTCGACCTGACGGAATTCGATTTCTTCCCAATGGTTACATAAAAACGTGCGGTTGTTGCTAAGTGCAACGTACTCCCCCCCGTTCTCTTCCCCTCGACCGGGGCGCAGGTGCAAGGGTCGTGGCACAATGAACTATAAAAACGAGATGCGACGACGCGAGGAATAAAAGAGCGCGCGAGAGAAAATAGAAATATGAAATATATAAGCGTTGAATTTGAGAAATAAAATTCTCAAAGGTATAATACGATGATACGAATTTACGAATAATTGTGCGTCGAGAACTCTGGAGTGCATCGTGTCCTTGATCGTGTCTGTAATCAGCAAGGGGTTCTTTTCTTTTGCTTTTGAAAATTTGCAAAATCCGCGTGAAATATTCATAACTCGCGAGATAATTCTTTCTTAAATTTCTTTTTATCGCTTATAGCTAAATCCACCTCGTAAAGTGGCTTTTCCGGATTATGAGCTTAGATAACAGGTTCTGAATTTAAAACGCGAATAAACACAACTCGCTCCTTGTGTTTTCTCCCTCGCGTTTATTTCTTATTAAGTATTCTCACATTTTTATTCCGATAGTTTTTGCAGGAAATAAGGAACGAATGCGAAGACTGTTGTCTGTACTTCTGCCTCGAATACACGATTTCTACGTGAACTGCGTCTCTCGCGACGTTTTGCGAACAGGTGCATTCCATTTGATCGGCACGTCATTAGCCTGGGAGAACGCCACGCCGGCTCTTCCGCCGTACGAAATTAAACGCTCATTCCATTTACCCTCACGGGAAATATCGATCGCAGACACCCTACGCGGGCATGCACAACTGAGCTGATGCATGCACGCACGATATTTCGCGAACGAGCGAATTGATCGCCTGCGCGCGAATCTTTCCACTGCAATTTTCCGCTGAAAGTATTAGGTCAGTGTTCCCAAGCGGGTTCCTCATTTTAAACGTCGATAATATTTAATCCATATATCAAAAGACTATTTAATAATTATACAGAAAATCGATTTGTATTTCTATACTAATATTAATTTTTAACTTACAAGGATTAAATAGTGAACATGTGCCGGAGTATTTTGTCTTAAAAAAAAATTTAGCTGTGAAAAGTTAAATTTAATTTTTCAAAAATTTTTGTTAAAATTGATTGGCACAAACTTCGTAATTTTTTATTTATTGATTTAATGTTTCCCATATGTGCGATTTGTTGATTACAAAACTTGATTACCTGCGCTTGTCAATTTTCGCTGTGTCTTTGAATTTTGAATCGGAATCTTATTTATTTCGTTTTATTTGCTGAAGAAGTTCTCTATACTTAGCGTAAGCATGAGAACAAACAATCAAATTTTGCTGACACTGCATTGCTATAACGGACGCAATATTGCTGAATAAATGAATAGTTGTACATTTGCGCGTAGTTTCCGTATTGAATAACGCAGTTCGGTACGGAACATACATGAGAAGTTGGTAGAATAGTGATGTAACCCTTTCCGTGCTTTCGTAGTCGTACCGAATCTTCTCTGCAATTCGCGAGCGCTGAGTATAGGTACTACGATTATATAAGATTCATGAACGATTCGCAGGTTGCAGAATTTTGCATGCCAATATTATTATTTTTATTACTTTAAGGCTCGATCTTGTAGATAATTTAAATGAGCATTAAATGGATCATTATGTAACGTTGTTAAACTCGTCGAGCGCATTTTCCGCGTAATTATTCACGAAAATTATATCTCGTTTCTCGTGTAACACGGCTGTCAAACAGTTTAGAGAATCGCGCGAAAAAGCCAAGCGGCTTACGCAAATTTCATTCTCCCTCGACTGTAAGCTGCGCGAAATCCCTCGTGTCGTTTCGACACGTACATCACAGGAAAGGAAATGAAAGACAGCGTCGCGATATGAGTGGTCTATATCTTTATGTAAATCAATTTTTTTTAGAAATCTTGATGAAGAAGATAAATCTTAGAGCTCTTTGAAAATGAAACAGTTATAATCAAGCGAATAAAAAATGCACTACTTCAAGACTTTGAAGAAAAATATTTTATATTTATATATACATTTTATAATGTTAGATATGTTTTAATAACCACGACAAAGCATTTTAATTAATAATAACTTAATTTCTTATACTTTTTTCAATCAATCGTGTTATTCAAGTTAATAGAGAACATTTTAATAGAATTTAAATATAAAAATATTAAACAAAAGTCTCTTTCGTGAAATTTACTTTACTTGTATTGAAATACTCGCTATATATTTCATAACACTTGTAGAAAGAAGGCAGTAGTGTCTTTAAGATGACATATAGTTATTACGAGCTTGCGATGACGATTGTTGCAAATGAGCAAATGATGAATATTAATTAAATTAAATTTGAGCATCACGAACGTTAATTTCATAAGCTGTCGCGCGTACTGAAAAGCTTGATAGCCACGATTAATTACGTACTCTTCTGCTGCAAAATGCATTAACATCGAATCATCGCCGTGTCTCTACAAAATCGACAATGCTCGTGGTTCTCGCTTCATGTAACAAATAATGATAAATTAATGTAAATTCGACAGAAGCTTGATTTATCTAGAAGTCTTTTACATATAAATACATTTTGACTGTTATTTCATATCGCTAATATGAAATTAATAAAATGTTTAAATTTCTTACCATTGAATTAATTAAAACGGAGATTTACACGTAATCTCGTTAAGCATCTTACGTCACGAGAAAACTATTTATATCTGCAAAAGTCGCATGAGACGCGTTCCTCGATTTTTTTCCTCAATCGCGATGCATATTTTTCAAACACGGTCGCAGTCGACAGAGACCGCGACACGCTAAACGAATCAACGAACGTAATCAAATTGGGCCGTGTTACGCGGTCGATTCAGAATTAGGTGCGATTCTATGGCTTCCACGCGTCCGAAGCACGCAGAGAACCAAGAGACTATTCTAATTCGTATAGCTTATAATTCTCACAACATACATCAGCATAAGAAGAATACTTATAAAAGGAATACTTGACAAATATTTTGACGACAGAATACATACGAGTTTGTTCTTTTATGTCAAATAATTATTTCTATATCTTCTATAAAAACGGATATCAGTTTGTACGGGAAAAAGTTATTCGCTGAAGCATTGCAATATGTGGGTTGTTTCTTTGTTCAATCACCAACATGTATTCATAAGTTAATGATCTATTATATATGCTTGTCAAATAATTTATGCATAATGTAATTATGCATGTGCTACATACTACATACCGCGCACGCAAAAATAGAACGATAGCCTTATATATAAACATAAATCATTTTAAATATATATCACGCGTCAAGAGCTATTATTATAGCTCATTATTAATATTAATATTAAGCGCGCGTTAATATCAAGCAGTCGGAAAGGATTAAATCGATATCGGACCAAAAATCAAATCAAGTCGATCCCAATATTTCCCACGCGAGTAAAATCGAGGCCTAGAAGATACTTTACTTTCCATAATAAATATATTCGCTACAAAAAGTATTTAAATTGACATATTTTAGAATTTAATGCGAAAGAAGCTGTTTACAGAAGGATACGTTGATCTTGAAGTATCTCTTCCACAATTAGTGGCAAATCCTTTATCCTTTTCATGTTTTTTTTTTATTTCCAGAGCGCAGCGGGTGCAGTAAGCGCCCGAGCAGGAGGTACGTAGACCATGCCAGGGCCAGGAGCGGAGTGGTGACCTAGACCTCATCCCGGCTCCGACCCTCGATGCTTACGCTACGGCTGGTGTCGACTCACTTCCTGAAGCAGCCATAGGCAGTGCCCTTTGCCTTAGAGAAAGGGCTCGATGCGATGTGCCGTGATAGGGACATGAACCCAGAACTACTAGTCGAGTCGCCGTCGCCGTCGTCGTAAAAAGTAAAAAACGAAGAAAAACACACACGGTTGTTCGAAATTTTCACGCGCACGCAAGAAGGACTTTTCTTCTTCTTCGACAGCCCTTCTATCTCTCTCTCTCTCTGCTGCGAGAGTCCTTTTTCGCATATATACATACATACATAACACATACATACACACCCCCACGAGTCGTTCCTTGCCCTTCCAACCACGAAGACGAACAAGAACGACTTTCCTATTTTCGTGTTATTCCAAGATAAATTAAAATCCCGACGAGAACAGAACGGGCTACTCTCAAGCGAGGAAGTGTGTACACGTCTCGCGTTCGGTACTCGGTACTCGGTACTCGCGGTATTCGGGATAAATTCGTGATCCCAGTCGCCGGAACTGGCCGGACCGAAGAAGCACGATATTTGTAACCCGGAAGAGACAACATTATCGGTACATACTCACGACGAATCCAGCCGAGGGGACGACAGGAGGGAGGGGCAAGACGAGACAGCTGCCACGCTGAGCTCAGTGTACTTCAACCTGTGGAGGATCGCGAGAGAGTGCATTGTGAGTGTTTCTCTTTAACATTTGCATATTTTATATGGTTGATACAAGCGAATAATTATGAACAATTATTGTGTGTATATAGTTAATTAGTAATTTTAACTGATCGATTATTAAACAGCGTACAAAGTGAAACAAATAATGCTTTTAATCAAATTAGATGTACAAAGTCCCTAATCGTATTTTCCTATTGTTAATTTATTTAATTTATTGAGACATTAAAAAATTTTATATTTACTTGAAATATGACATAATATGAAACTAACATTAAATTATAATTAATTAAAACTTCTTTTTATTAAACTTTTCGAAGATGTATAGTGATATATTTAAAATGATTAAAGTATGATAGCTCAGTTATAGGAAGTACATGATGACCTCATAATTGTCTTGCAAAAAATATTTTCTTTTTATTAATTAATTAGGATGTCTATAGAGACATAGTAAAATAGAGAAGTAAACACTTTATAATCTCTCGTGTCTTTATCAAAGAATTCAATACAAGAGCATTGGTTTTCTGATGGCAAACATCCAAAACGTCTAGCGCGATTAAAAAACGATACTGTGCAGTAATTTTCCAATGTGCGTCACAAATTTGGCGTGTAGGCGATTAAAACGGATTAAAAGCCGCATATTTATGTCACGCGCACGCAAGAGTCTCGACACGTCTGCCTCCTCGGTTACGTAATCAGGAAATTTTGGCACAATTTTGGTGCAAATGCATGAGTAATCCGGTTCGCGTGAAATTTCTCCGCGCATCTCCCGCATCAGTCGCGACCGAGCATCATCGGCGAGCATCATTAACCGTCTCGTAATCGCCCTTCGAAACTGCGCACCTTTCTCTCATGCAAGAAGGGATGACAAGATAAATTGATCGACCGCGATATCGGTTATCGGTGCAACGGTCTCGCGACGAGTTATTTTCGATAACATACTTTGTGTCGTTGGAACTTACGTCGTAAAAAACTTATTTGTTCGAGAAAGCTGGCAATTGCCAGCAAAGACTGCCCAGTTTCGATGAATAATTTCTTTCGCTTTTGCAAACTGAAATACACGACTTTAAAGGAATCGCATTATAAATACAACGCACTTTGAAATAATAATTAAATCAAAGTAGAACATTCTAATTAAAAGTCAAACGCAAGAAGTATAGAAATATTGTGCTTGAAAAAAGAATAATATTAAAAATATTGAGAATGATTAATGTATCGTATTTGTTACGGAGATGTTACGGCGCGATAGTTTATCAACTCGTCTTTTTATTTTTAAATATATATGGTAAAGGATGTTGATGTAGGAGCGAGGACGACGACATTTACGGTTCATCGATCTATTCGAATGGAGCTTTTCCTGTGTTATGAATGCGCGTTTCTCGTCACGCGCCGCTCATCGATCGCGCGCTTGCGAAAATATTGAAATTACTCCCACGATTGTTCCGCCAATGTCGGTGCACTGACGTGCTGTGTTTCCTAGCACGATCGTGCAAATGACACGGTAGTTACCTCGCGTTAGGTCGATATGAAGCCTCCAATTTTCCGTCCGAAAAGAGATCAGTAATTTTTTTCGGTCCGCTTTTATTTCTGAAAAATACTTGTATCTATTTAAATTTATATTTATTATCCTCCAGTATCTCTCGGGAACATTAATATTGAATTTCCTGATTGAAACATCATATCATTCAGTGAATTTCTTACGCAAAATTTAGTCTTTTTATTTAGGAAGTTGCCCGTCTGATATTTTTTTTTCTGATTTAACCACGATAGAAACCGAGATTTTACTCAGACGCAAGAATGATAGTAAATAACGAATCTTTGAGCGGCCGTCGTTTTACTTGCTGTCGCATATCGTGCGACTTACAAGTTTGCTCGTCGCTTTTGTTAGTGCGGCAGCAGGTCGCGGTGCAGACAAAGTGGGATGAGACGCCCTCAGCAAGAACATCATCATCATCACCACCACCACCATCATCACCATCATCATGGATCCTCAGCAAGCCCCACGTGCTCTCGTCAAACACACGATAAGGTAGGTACTCTTCACGGCACTTACTGCATATTTACATTTAACGCAAAGTGTCATAACTTGCGTCTTTTACGATTATTTTAATAATCATGTCTGATGCGCTCAGAAGTCATTATAAGTAGATATATATATTTTTGCATGTATATTTTGCGAAATTGTGTTTCTTAATATAAGTAATAATTTTTTAATAATGAAGTAATAATTTTTCATCCGCTAGGATAGATTTACGTGTTTTCTTCAAGCTTCATCGCATTTTTTTGTTTATTAATTTATAACGATTAGGAGAACTGCGCTGCGTAAAGTTCTTACTTGCAACGGCTACTGCTGTCTTAGTAAATAGACAATGGCGTAAAGCAGCTTTCGTTCTATATTCGAGATACGGCTATAGAAACTTCCCGGCCCTTCCACTGCATTGAGCGAGAATACGGAGTCTATATCTATCGTTACTCTACTTTGTCCGATGCACTGCCTTTTCAACACTTAGCGGCCATTCGTCGATTACGCTTTCTCGTTCCCTGTTACCTCACTAATCATTTATACGACCCGTATAAATGTCTTGCAAATGTCGGAAATATCATTTATCGCTCGATACTCCACGTAAAGCGTGCAGAGTGGATGTAAAATGTAAGTACGTCGTTTAAACGAGTTAAGAAACGTAGACATATAGAGACAAATATTAGAGAGAGTTTTATAATTTTATATAGCTAGACTTTATCTAGAAAGAAATTAATAATTGATTTTATTTAATATGAAACTGTAATACTGTATTATATTTGATTACTAAATGTTATATAATTATTACATACATATATAATACGAAACATAATTATATTATAATTAAATAATAATTATTTAACAATTAATGATATTATACACTTAACAAATAATAATAAATAATATATATATAGGGACATCATTTTTGCTGAGAGCTCTTTACGTTATAGATATATCTTTACTAATTTTGCAATTTACTTTCGAAAAAACTTTTACTTTATGATATTTCCTACATATTGATAATATTTCACCTTTATGTTTATACATTGTTATAATTATTACACATATAATTTACATATTTTGTTACAGAAAGGAGATAGTTTAAATTTTGAACGTGTGCTTTTTGACTACAATACTCGAAAACGCGCAAGACTTAGGCGGGTTAACAAGTCCCTCGCGTTTCAGGACGAGTCTCGTCTCGCTCGCGTGAAGCGCGTCCTGGCAGGTTCGCTGTTAGGCCGCGGCGCTGGATCCAGCAGGATCTTCGGCACCCGGCTGGAGCTGATCGAGTCGTACCTCGACACGGGCGTGCCATACGTGGTGCACCGGCTATGCAGCTACATCGAGGTGCACGGCTTCCAAAGCGCGGCGGTGTTCCGCCTGTCGGGCGGCAGTCCCCGCCTGGCCGAACGGCTAAGGGCGGCTTTCGAGCGGCGGGGCGATGCCGATTTGGAAGCAGCCGGATGCCCGCCGACGGCCGCGACCCTTCTTCGCCAATATCTAAAGGAATTGCCGCAGCCGGTCGTGCCATCCACTCTCGTCGGCAGACTGCTCAACATTCACGCCCGTGAGCATCAATAATGCTATATCAATTTCTCAAAATAATTCAGGATTTTCCGAGAAGGGAATGCTCCATTCGCGTCTAAATATCATTCCGAGATGTGTCAAATGCGGTTACGAGTTAAATAATTTAAATTTTCACTTGAAAATTTGAATGAATACGGAATATTTTAGTGTTGGAGGGAAACTTTGCTATAGAATGTTACTGCAACTTTGATTTGGGTCTGCGTCACTTCCGACGCTCTTGATAAATTCTGTGAAAATGTCTGTCGCAGAGAACTACGCAAACGATCACGATTCGTGGATCGCCTCGACGAAGGAACTACTGTCGACCCTGCCGTCCTCGCATTACCGTCTGCTCGGCTATCTGACGAACTACCTTAGCCGATACGAGGCGCGACATGGACGCAGCGCCGGAGTCTGCGGTGTTTTCGCACCTGTCATGCTGCCTCACGTGCCGCCCGCGACCACTCTCCTGCGAGACATCCTCGCCGAGGCACCGGTACTGTTCCCCGACTGGTGAGTGACATATGATGATTCTCTTAGCATAATGACTCGAAGAGTCTCGCAAAATAACTTATTAGAGAACTCACGCGAGAAACTTACGTAATAATCACCGGCGGCGGAAACGAGCGATATATCTATATTCCACCTCACTCATTTCGATTATTTGCATTTCCTATTTTAGAACGATTAGACCGCCCACGATACGTTTTACAAACGTGAAGAGATATAGCTTTCGAGAAAGAACAATTTATAATCAATGTACGTTACGTAATGATAAAAATAATCGAATTTTTTAATAAATTTTTTATATAAAGTACGATTAGATTCTAATTAAAAAATTTTTTAATAACCGGAATTTTCCACAAATATAAACAAATATTACTTTAAAATTCTAAATTTATAATATATATTTTCATTAAAAATTTTTGTATAATATTAGACTGTTTTTGTAGTGTGTGTAAAATTATGCTCAATTTGAGTCATTTTTAATCATTCCTATAAGTTGCCACAGCTCCTACTTAATATGTCATTAATTTAATTAAAAACAATATTAATTTAACTAAACCAATTGAGTTAAAATAGTACAATTTTGTGTTAAAATAATAAATTTTGACACACATGGTAGGTAAAAATAACAAAATGTTATTTAACAAGATATTTGTTTAAATTTCATCTTTCAATGTTTAATAGTGTAATTATGTTCCTATTAAACTTTTATTTTTTGAAAGACCGTTGAAAACGCTTCGTATTGGTGCGAAAGAAAATATTGAAGGAATACGTAATTTTTGCACGAGAAAAAGATTATGCAAAACATAGTGACGTTTATTTGCGTCAAATTGGTAATTTCGCGGGCGTTCTTGAAATCGTGAAAAAACATTGTTAGCGCGAAATCATGGCTTAACTATGCCAGCATGCCTAACTTTGTAGACCGTTCATGCACCGTTAAACATCCAATGCTGACCAATATCCTTCGGTCGGTTGTTCGTGACTCTTTTTGCGAATAAAACAAAGAGATTTATCAGCACAAGATCTCACATGGCTTTTTATCTGTCCGGCGAAAAGAACAAGTGTCAAATTATAAAAACGCATCAGAATATAACAATAAAGTATACCAATCACATATTTTTCATTAATCAGAGTTCATGTTTAGATATCGGTTTGTTTGCGATAAAAATAAATTTCTTTATTATCGTGACATTTAAAAAAATAAAAATATTTGAATATCTATATTACATGGGATATAATACAATTTTATTGAGCTTTTTTGATTACTCACACACGTATTATGTATTTTGCACTGTTAAAGGTTAAAGGATGAAATTTAAACCGATACCATGAGTTAGATTTATTTTGTTATTTTTAACTACTATGTGCGTCAAAATTTATTAGTTTAAAATAAAATAGGATTATTTTAATTCCATTAGTTTAGTTAAATTAACATTGTTTTAATTAAATTAACTACATATTGAGTAGGAGCAGTGGCGACCTCTATAGAATAGTTAAAAATTACTCAAAATTGACCCTATGAACTTAACAATGTGATTTTGAGATTTTCTTATTTAATTCTTGAATTTAAGCAACTTTAAGCAATTTAAAATGAGTTTGAATGAGAAACGAATATAATTTGAGATACATTTTGTTATAATAGTACGGGGCATTCCCCATAGTTCTTTGAAATCTCTTCAACGAGAGTCGCCGCAATTTACGGTTACCCGACATTCGCCTGAGTCGAATAAATCGGCCAAAGTACAATGACTCTGTTTACTAATCTGAAAATCCGATTTAGTCGCCGCGTCGTGTATTAACCGCGCTGTGAATTACGCAAGAGTAACGCGATTCGAATGCGACGGGCCGCCGACGGCGTTGCAAGATAAATTATAAAGCACACTCTGTGGAAAGTGCGGCGCAACCGCGTCGAGCTTGTGCGCGTAAACTCGCCGCCGAGCGTTCGTGTTTCGATTTTCTTGCTACGCCGTCTCGACTCGCGAATTCGCGATATCGCTCGCATTTTCGACGATTATTCTCTTCTGCCGGCCGTCCGCGTTGGGATCTGTATTATCTATATATTATCTCGATAAACTGTTCCTCTCCTCGCGAAATCACAAACGAAGCAGAATTTCCGCGGACGTCTGCTCCTCGACAGCCGGCCGTCTAATTGGACTCTTCTACTTATACTCGAGAGAATCTCTCCCCCGACTGTGAGGGTCGACAGCCAGATATTTTCTAACCCGCGGGGTACTCTTTCCGTTCGTTCTTTCACCGCGATTGCATCTCGACTGCTTGGACAAGTCTCGATGAGGAGATCGAGTGCACTTGACATTTCTTCTTTTCCGTATTCTCAGCAGATGCGGATTATAAGAATGGAAAAAGGAAAAAAATCAATTTTTTCTATTAAACCGAAGTTCATACATGAATGTATTTTTTTCCTGAGGAATACATTTTTCTTCATTAAGCGAAGAACAATTGTGATTAGACAATATATTGAGATAAGATAAATAAAAAGGAAATATGCAAATATAGATTAGATAAATAAATAAACGTTATCGCAACGCGCTTTGCATATCGGATCGATAGATTCGATTTGATTCCTGCGCACGTAAGAACGTATGCGAGAGAATTCCATGTTTCTTGCGTGCATATGAAGGGTTTCTCTCCCGGTTCCATGTACATACGGGTACGGTTTTATCGCGCGTAAAAGCCACCGAATCACGCAAAAAGCATGTTAAGCAGCATCTATAATTCGGATCACGCAGAAAACGGTACGAAATTGGAAGACCGGATGGGCATCCAGGAATTTGGAATTATTATTTATAGAGTTCCAATGCCCGTATCTAGTTTTTTCTTCCACTTGTGTTTGATTAACGACCTGAAAAAGCTAACGGCTTGAAATAATAAAGCAAAAAAAATAAAAAAAATAGATATGTTAATAAATAACATAGTAAAAAACGTAGACAACAATACATACATTTTTCAACACTCGTTTTTAACTGTGCGTATTAAAATACCAACTAACAATATCAAAATTTTTTATTGTTTCCGTCGATTTTTCTCATTTTGCACGTTTGGGAATTTATAGCTTTTAAGCTTTTAATAAGTCACGATGTATCTGCAAATTGCAGATGGGCGTCGGATTGCAGGCGTAGGCGGAAAATATCCGCGTGTAAAAATATCCCCGCGGCCTTCTCCGCGATGAATTTCGTCGTTACATCGCGTTATTGAAACAGTTGGGACAACGGTTCGGCCGTTGATAAAAAGTCGCGGTCCTTGGCCTTGTCGCGAAATCGCGCGCCATTGACGCGCGCGTACTTGAATGCACGTTCGATACACTTCCTTTCCTCCCACGCAGCAGGAGCGTTTTCTAACGAATCGTTTCTTACCTGCATTAACTCAAATGTAGCTGTACCCATCTTTTTAGTACACGTTTTGCTGCATTTCTTCAAAAAGAACTTTTACCTTGCCGTAACGAGGTCTCTGCTATTTGCAATTTAAATATCTTTCGAAGGCCGACGTCGAAGATTAACGGGTGTACGTGTGAAATAGTCCATTCTTGATGAATATATTTACTAGCTGTAAATCATTTAGCTATATATTGATTATTTTGATCGCACTATTATTGGTACATTATGATTTTCAATTATCGATTTCTTAATGTAGTTATTATGACTACATTAAGAAATTTATCGCTATAATTTATAATTTATAATTGCTATTCGAAATTTGGAAAAAATATTTTTTTTACATAAATTTTTGGAGATATAGAAAGCTGTTGAATTTTATAACTTTAATTGAAACGCAAATTGTCTGATAATACATATTAAGCACTGAATTTATCTCAAAGTATATTGATTGCATTTTTCCGTGTATTTTACTGAAAATATCGAGAGCGATATAAAATTGCTCGTTGGATATTAATAATAAGTCCGTACGCAAAAAAGTTCTTAAAATAAAGGAACGGCGCGAGCGATTTAATACGATAGAGTTGTATTAAAGCGCTTCACAACTGATGCCGATCCATTGACTGAATGCTCGCTTTATGTTCTTAGTTCCAATTAGTATGTCATTATTGGTACTTCGAAGAGTTCTTATTAGAGTGTAGATATTTTTGATAAAACACAAAAACGCAGATATAATACTTCAGATAAAAATAATATAAAATATTTTAATTGGAATTAGATAAGATAAATAATCTAAAAAATTAATTGAAAGTTACAGATGGTATATAATTATAGAGAGATTACAGATAATAATATAGTAGTTATATATGTAAAATGTAGATGTATCCTTGTAGCGCGCGTTTTCTTTCTCGCCCGACTTTCATAAAAGATTGTAACAGGTTTTTACTAACTAAGTAACTTGCAAGATTGATAATGGTATTCAACTCCTTGTGCTTAAAGCGACGCATTTAGAAATCCCTTATAGTTAGGTGAAACTGTAAAAGCGTGCGATTAATCTTAGTAAAATAGCTAAGCGTGTCGCGCGGCAGAAAAAAAGATCGCCGCTTTACTCACATGAACGGCGGTTAAAGCGTGACGTGATAATAAATATTTTTAAGAGAGGACGGTGCTCTTTTCTTCAGGAAAAAATCAGCATCGAAGATTGATCGCGCTTTCCGAGACCGCGTTGCGATCACGCGAGACTGGGCGAACTGTACCGCGCGTGTTTTACCAGACACAATAGACTGTGATATGTATGTGGAACAATGTTGTAACCATGTTATTCAAGGAATCGTTGGCTACGTTCTGCGGTCAATGGGTCGTTAGCTTTATTAATTATTCAAGGAATTATTCAAATGACTATAATTACATCGTCGATGAATCGTGTTAAACTTCGTTGTAGTATTTACATATTAACTTCATTTAAAGCTCTAAATTATTTAAGTGTTCTTTTGTACCAGTACATTCTCTGTATTAAGAAGGATATAAATTAAAATTACAAAGCATATTTTGGAGGAAAACAAATTATAAATCTGCTTGTTATTACATATATTGTATAATATATTGTATAAGCGTGGGCGGGGGCGAGAAGCCATTGTCATTAAATTTTATTATTGTAGATTAAATTTGTTAATACACGACAGACGGAAACGGTAAAAGAAGTATAAAAGACACATAAGCGTGACTGGTGAATTAATTCATCCGTGAAAAGCGTTTCGCTGCACGCAGTCACACAAATTACGTTAAATCGATTGAGTGAATCGAGTAAACTAATTGAACAGAGCGAGAACTTTTATGCGCCACTCACATTAACGAAGATAAAACGAAGATATATATTATATAATAATATAGACTGCAGGCTGAATAAAAATTCTATCTAAACAGCCGTTAATTGTTTGATAAGCGCTGCATCTCGCGACGGAGATAACGATGATAAAGTGAATCTGCCGGCAGGCAGGTAAGTTGCCGGGGAGAGAAAGAGAGATGTGAGGTATTGCGCATTCTCGATCGATGGAGACCTCGTTTTGGGGTATTGGCTTAAGGTAATCGGTGTTATGCACGGTCATGCGTTTCCATAGATCTTGCGTCATCGCCGCCGACACCGCCGACGCCGGGGACGAGCAGCGTCCATGAATAGTGCATCGTGTGCATGAATATTTCACGTTGCCTCCGCCATGTGCGCTTGGTCTCTGTCCAAAAATCTCTTCGACTCTTTCGGAGACGGTTGGCGCGTTATATAAAGCTTCAATTAACTAACGCGAGAGTCGCAAGTTCATTTGTAAAGAGCCGGTCGCAGAACGTCGTTATTACGATTTTAACTGTAGGTATTATGCTCCGCGAAATTCGCTTTTTTATTTAAAGCGTTGAAAAAGATTGAAAAATTTAGGAGCGTGTTCACCTAAGCGTGTACAATGTTCATCTAAAAGGACAGAAGGCCGCAAAAAGCACATATAATAATAACGAAAAAATTTTAATAATCTTATAACGATTTGCCGTAAAGTTTAATATTTTAGACATAACGTTGGAAAATTAAAAAGAAAATATTTATATCAGCGTTTTAAAAAAACAAGATTTATGTATGTAGGTATAGCGAAACCAAGAGAATTTTACAAAAATGAAAACCACGATCGCTGTTTTAAAGCTTTGCGCAAACGACAGAGAAAAAGAGAGAGAGAGAGAAACGCAACACAGGGGCATTAGTACAGCCGTAAACCGGTTGGAACAGGTTCCTTCAATGAGAGACTCACCTGATAAAAGGTTTTTACCCGGATCGGAGTTTCTCGAAATTTACAGAGAAATACGTTGACATATGCAATTACAATTGAGCTTGTGGATATACCGTGAATATTCCATAACGCGATGGACAGTTCCGTGTTCGCTTTATCTACCTCAGTCAATTGCTTTGAACGAGCTCCAAAACCGTCCTCCCCAATCGCATCTAATCGATACGCAATACGCATTGATTATACACGCGATGCAATATGAATACACTGTTTGTATCTCGATCGACAACGAGACGGCGAGACCAATCGAGTTTCTGGACAATAGTCTAAGCGTCTAAGCACCGCCGTTAATAACGCTATAGGTAACAGATTAAAACGATTTATAAAGCAATTTTAATCAAAATTGTGCATTTAAAAAATTACATCTAAATAAATTACGTGATGCAATATCTAAAGAATCTAAATAATAATTAGCGAATTAATTTGCACATTAATTGAGAAGTTTTCGTGTTTGCTGCATATTAATTAAAAGCTGATTGCGAAAGCTTTTAATAAAATATGTGTGCGACTCAGGAGAAACGATAAACGCTGACCTCTAAAATCCACTTATGGGAATTCATTAGGTTATACGTAATTAATTAGGCCACTCCCGGTTCGATTAATAAGCCCAAGTCTGTCAGTCCTTAATTGACGTCAAATTGCACGTATATATTGATAGGCGCAACGCAAATCGCATCGTCGAGCATTGCGATCGCGCGTGTTCACTCGCGGAGAAGGCGTGCGATTATATTCCGTTCACGTGTTGCCTAAGTGGCCTCCTATTTCCTAGTGTTGTTGTCCCTGGCATGCCGTTTGGATCCAAAAATACTGGCAACTTATTCAATCTCAGTTTGGCAAGCAATATAAAAGAACACTCGTATATCTCTTTACAGGAAGGTTTTCAACAATTTATTTTGCAGATCATGTCACCGTAAGATATTTTGCGATTATTTCTGCAACCTCATATAACTTCTTTTCTCGATACGGAGTTAAATGTTAAAACAGTGACGCAAATTTATTTTTGCATAAAAAATCTGATTCATATTTTATGTAAATGTAAAATATATAGTACAAAAAGTAACATATTTCTACATTAATGTATAGTTATTACACGTCTTGCATTTTTTTAAATTGAAGATATATCGATATATGGGAAAAATACATAGTGCTATTGTATTAAATTAAACTCCTGGGTAATTGAGTTTAAGTTAAAAGTAAAAGTTAAGTTAAAACATCCCTTTTCTCTCAAAATATCGTGTATAAACAAATTAAAAATACAAAGTGAAAATTTGAGGATAAGTACCATAAGTAAGTTTAGACTGTTAGAAGAATTTAATTAATTATGCGATTCTTTAAACCTCTGTAAAACATTATTAGAGATTCAGATTATTAAAAACATGTCTATATAGAATTGTTATATACATAAATTTTTTGAAATTTATGAATAGGAAGAAATATTTGATATCTCTTTGTCTTTAATCCTTATTACTTATCAGGTTATCTAAAAATTCTTCGTAGTGAAATATAGAGAGCGGATTAAGTTTTCATCCCATTGGCGCGGCGCAGTCTAGATAAGGAGAGAATAGAATAAACATTACAACGCGCGAGACAATATCTCCCCTTTATTACGCGATAAGATAAGAAGGAATGTAGCGTAGGATGACACATTTCGATACATTTTAAAATGAGCCGCGGAGGTATTTGTTTATGGCGAGTAAAACGAAAAGCAAAACCGCTTTTGCGCGTAGGCGTAGAAAATGCGTAAATCTTTTCGGGTTTTAATGCGAATTTATTTTGCATTCGACGCATACGACAATCAAACGTCATCTGAACAAAAGGGTGAAATCGTTAGCGGCCGAAATTATCTCGCCCGCGGAACTCGCGGTGCGTTTTATTACGCGCGCGCGAGCGTGTGAGCAGAGAACATGACGCACTCGGATTTCTCGCACACCGATTCGATCGGTAACAATGCCGCGACACGCGATATACCTGGATCAGATAAAGCTGCCGATTAATCGGAAGCCACGGATCGATTAAGCGCGCCGGCGATCCCATAGATCGAAGTAGCAAGCTCGTCGACGACACGCGATATCGTGAATTTTCCACGCGTCACTTGCGGAATCGTCAATTAATTAAAGTAGATATAACGAACAAGATTCGTCAATTTTGCAAAATCACGTGTGCTGAACCAAAAATGGTCAAAACATGTTTTTGCCATTATATGAAATTTAAATATTAGTGCAAATATCAAGCTAAGTTAAAGTTGAAATCTTTGTGAAATAAAATTAAAATTATGTCGCTTTTTTTTTATCTGTCATATAATATTTTGTGTTTTTAAAACATAAATTAAAACATATTTTGTAAAGAAATTGTTAAACATAAAATGAAAATTCTGATTTTAAATAAAATCTTTTTGAATAAATGCTGAAAACATTAAATTATTTGTTGAATGTTAGGGCGATGATAAATATTGGTAAAAAGATCCTTAACGTTTTACCGGCATGTAAAGACTATTATTATCGGCAACTACGTTGATAGCAGAGTTATTTATACAAAGTTGTAACCTTGTAAAAAAATACGTTCATCTCTTAGCTTTTAAAAATATTTTTCTTTCTTATCGCAATATTGGCGTTGCTTCTGATGTTCGCGGAAAGTTCGTTACACAATTATACACATCAGCAATTATCGATGAGATTTAATTTTAATGTATGCAAGCTGCAAAACTTATAAGTGTAATAAACTGTTAATAAGCGTATCGAATAGGTGACGCTAATAAAGGAAATAGTTGTCGATGGTTTTTGCACGCGAAGAAGTTTTGCGAGTTTTGCATGAACTCGCGATATCTAATCTAATTGCGTATCTGAAAATTTAATACGGTGCTTATCGATCTTACGTAACAGCCTAGACACGCACAAGCGCTGGTCATAACAAAAATAAACTACGCTGCGTATCGTCTCTGTCAGTAGTCCGCTCCAAATATTTTCTTATTTGAGAGTCCTTTTTAAGAATTCTCTGAAGTCTGGAAAAAGGAAAACATTGGACAGGCAGATCGTTACATTTTAAAATATTTCAGATATGCGAGACATTAATATTTTTCTCCGCGAGAAATGCGAAAACTTTAACATACCGGCTGCTAAGTTGGGAACTACCCCAGAGCGTGATGCTCTAGGATTACTTTCGCGATAGACGGAGAACTGCGCAGTTTTCCTCGATTCAACGTGGAGAAGGGTCGACTGATCGATCTCTCTCTTTCTCGCGCGCGACTCCGTGAATATGATCCTGGCAGCCGACCAGGACTTCATTTTAAGCATCGACGGTCTCCGGCCACATTCCACGCCGTAATTCCGTAGCGGCTCCGCCACAAAGCGTCTTCCTATTCCGCCATCGTGGTTAGGCATTCTCTTGAAAGAATTTTTTACATTTCATCCCTCGCCGCCCACTCTCGCGACAATAATTCCTGTAGCACGAGAAATCGACGAGTGGCAGAGGTGCATTTAAACTGCTCAATTACTGCCATTAAATTTGTGTAACTATAAAATTAGCCCCGGTTGAACAACTGAGTGACTTGACAATCGGAGGCGTTGATAAAAAATTGAAGGTTTCTACGTTCAGGGAAAACTAAAAACAAAGCCTATCTAAGCCATCTATAAAAACATATAAAGAAAACTGATTTTGAATTGAACTGATTGTTAATTCGAATGCAAATATAAATATTTGATTAAAATTTTACTCTTAATGCAAGTGCTACGTCAAAAAATTTTTATTAATAAGTAATTAAAAATACGGAGATAATTAGAAATACTGCTGTAAATTAAATATTTACGCTTTTGTTGCATTTATATGATATAATTTTAATTCGTGGAATTTAATATTTAAATGTGACTGTAAATAAAATAAAATTTACACTTAGTATCCTGAATAGATCTTAAAAGAGATCTAAAGCTGCTCTTATAAACTGTTAACACTATACTGATATAAAAAAATGCCAATGACAATGCCGATCGCATAATGATTAACATCTTGGTTTTGACGTAGGCGCGAATCTATCGGACTCGCGATGGCCGCCGTGAATTAGAAGAGATAATCGTGTAGACTCCGGTAGAAATAGCTCCTACGGTCCGGAAATAGAGCGTAGTTTGCAGGATCGAGTTGCTGATTCTGTGTTGACACGAGTCGATAAGACGCCGACTGATATGAAGGAAAATAAAACGAGAGACACGCAGGCACAGGCAGAGAGCTTGCCGGGAAACCTTCATCTGAAACTGCTCCTTTCCGGTTTTGACGAGCTGAAAACAAGCGTATGTGACCTTGTTGTTAACGTGACATTTTATGACACGCCTGTTTCTCGTCTTTTTGCCGCAGAACTCGAAATATCTGATTCTCACCGAATATAGTGCAAATAATAAGACACGCATGCGAAATGTTGACAGTAAAATTTTCACATTGTTCGTAATCGTCTCATTTGGAGGCTCTTCAAACGAAACTATTTTTGCAAAAGTCAAAAGAGTCACAGGGAATTAGCAAACGCTCAAATTTTTACTTATGTCACTCTTTACATTTCTTTTTACTTATTTTCACGTGTTATACACATTTTTTATTTTGCTTCATACAGTTATAAGTCGAAACTTTGCACCGTCATATTTTTTAATAGAAGCATCTGACAAAAAAGTGTTTCGGACAAAATTAAGTTGTTTTCTTCCATAGAATTCAAAAATGTAATTTTTTTATAGGGGTTTTTATTTAAAATGTTAAAGTTAATCCCTTCGACCCACGCAACAGAGGTTGGAGGACCAACCTCCATTCCAGTTTGAAGGCCCTTCAGATCCATAAAATTCAAGACCTAAATCTTTAAAATCGATGAAATAGTTTTCAAGATATCGAGCTGTAAAGAATTATTTGGGTCACCTTGTATATATATTTTATTTATAAATTGCTTTTCACATATATATTTTACGTGATTCGATAGCATTCCGATTCTTTCTTCGCGAACGTCTTTTTCTTTCTCGTATTTTCATATCTCTTGAAAATACGTGTCCTTGAAACTCGCAATATCCAGTATAAAAATAACACGTTTGATGCTGTAGTATAAGTGAAAAAAAGGAATCCATTAACTTAAAAGAGAAATGAAATTTATGAGAAAGTCTCACGAGAATCAGAAGGGGAGCAGTTTCGAGCAGTTTTTGCCAGTTTTTCTTGATTCGCCACTAAATGATGGATTCGAGATAAATTACCCTGGAGAAAAGAGAAGAGAGGGGAGAATGATAAAGAAGAAGAACGTGTATAAATCGTCGATTTGCCGAGTCGCGAGGAAATTATCCGGAAGAGCAATCTGCATCGCTGATAAGGTAGCATTTTCGGGTACAAGAACGAATGTTTTCAATGCGTGATCGCTAATCGCAAGGTTATATCGCGCGGGGTATATCACTGCCGCGGTATTAATTACATCACTCAGTATGCGACACGTCTCACAACTTATCAGACGGAGCCTTTTTGTCTCGCGATCGTGGCCTAATCAGTCGTCCGTTAACAAACGTCTATATTTCCGAGGAAATATACACTGTACTGCTAAAATAGATCGCGAATAATTATCGTGACACTTGAATGACCATCGTCGTTACTCTGTGGATTTTTATAAAGTCTACAGTCAACTAACAGTCAACTTCCTACATCGACGATAATTTTGGCAATAAATGTCTTGAACAAGGTCTGTGAGCGACAGATGAGAACAGGTGAGTTAATAATTTACGACTTGACGGAAGTTATTTCTGCCAAATTTAATTCTTAATGTTACGCGATCCGAGAACAGGATTAAACTTGCGAATTCCTTCCTGAGGAAACATAAACATAATCCTGAAGTAAAATGTGTATAATTATCTTATATGTATAATTACATATTGCGCATTACATACCTTCACACACTCGTTATGTTCATAACTTGTGAGAGATTTTCGTAGTATGGGAGCAGGAAGTTCCAAATCATGCCTCTAAGTCTTCGAACTGGTGGAGTTTCTTTTTTTTGGCAGAGTTATTCCCGACACATTTCTGAAACTAAATTGTTTTGTATTCTTTGTAACTGCAATGTATGTGCCATCCCCTTACCCTCGGTTCAAAACCAGCTCATAACTGCAATCGATACTTAGGGCGAATCTTTGTTTCGTAACTTGAAATAAACTGTTACGCTGTAAACAGGTTTTAAATTGATTATTTTCACAACGCTATTGTAATAGAGGCATAAATCACTGCACCGATTTGCAATAGAAGCATAAATTATCAATTTGAAAACTTTTTGGATTTGGTAAATGTATCAATGCCTGAACAGTCAGTAGACACGTACCTATGTTTGGACATCTTTATCATTTTAGTCCTTAAATAAGTATAATTAACGCGAATTAACGTTTGGATACTATAACTAAAGTTTCAAAATACGAGAAAATTATTTTTATCTTTGATTTTAATTCGCGTTATACTTATACATAGGTACGTGTCCACTGACTGTCCAGGCATTGGTACATTTATCTTAGTTTTTATTTAAGAAGATTCACAATTTTGTCACGAGATTAAAATTTCTGATTGTCAGTGTCACGTTTGAGGTTTGCGGTAAAAAATTATTCAGCTCGATCCCATTCAGTTTGAGCTTATTTATGCGCGAAAGGTTATCGGGAAACGTTATTGTCCTGAATGCGTTACATCGACAAGCAAGTCAAGGAAATGAACTTGCTGCGAGTTGAGCCCTCCGTCTGTTTTTCTCTCGCATCCGTGCGTCTTAAGGCGTGTTCTTTCTTTCATGGGTGGATGAATCACAATACACCCATACGTACGCACTCTTGTCGACCTTGAATACGTGCCTACTCCCGGTTTATCCTGAATTGGATGATGATGTGTTTCACGAAAGTAAAAAGAAGTTCTCACCTTCGCACTCGGCCATAGGAATATTCCGCGACCGGATTGGCTGCGAGTATACGAGGTATCTCAAAACTATCGCTTCGATATTAGAAGACAGATTTAAATAAATATTAATATTAATATCCACTGCGCGCTACGAAAATGTTTAACAATAAAAGTCGGAATTAATTTTAATCTCGAAAATTAGAAATAAGAGATCTTATTTCTTATAATTGATTATAATTTATTGCAATGTTTTACTTTATTTTGACTTGATATATACTATATTCATTTAGTTTAATTTATCTTGACACTCTAACTTAATATCGACAAGATATTTAATATACTAGATATTTAAAAGATTATAGATTTTAAGTTAATCATTGACGATACTAAATTTATAATTATCAAGACTTTAATTTTAGGACACTTTGTAAAATGATATTATGTCTCAGAGGATATTCTAGAGATTTCTTTATAAAAACTTTCGGAAATTTTAAATCACGATATTTTAAAACACATAAATCAATGTCTTGTTATAACGCATTCCTGAATAACTGCATTTACAGTTATTAGGTACATCCAGTAGCGTTATATTAATTGTTATTTCATGTCATAAGTACTTAATCAACTAGCTGTCAATATGCCCGGTAATCTTTTATTGTAATTAATTCGATATCACTGAACTCCCAATGGTCTTGTTTTTTTGCTCCTGATAAATATTTACTCTAAATTTGTTATACTCGTTAAAGGCTATTATTTATTAACTTATTAATTTTCATAACTAAATATAAAATTTCAAATATTTTAAAAGATTTAAACTTAAATCAATTAAAAGCTAAAGTTAAAAAACTTATTTCGAGTTTTTTTCGAAGAATAGTTTCTTTTTAAGAAAAATAGAAAACGATGAATCAATGCATAACATGATTGTGCATTATCGTCGGCTATGCTCTTCCGTCGTAGGCAGCGGTCCAAGAATGATGTAACGTTTCCTAATAGATTTCATCGGACTTCAACCAAGTCTGGCACGAGTGGCCAGAGGAAACATCCGCTTGGAAAAAGCCGGTTTCGATACAAGACACGTGTCTGTGGTAATGTAAATAGCGCAGCCGTCGTTTAACTGAAAGAAATTAAAAAATCGCTGACACTAAAATCTGGCAATAGGGTTCATAAATCCCGTTTTCGAAGATGCAGTCACACAAAAATAGTATATTTATATTTACTGATGACAAATGGCATAGGATATCTTTATAGAAAAGATACATTTTTAGACTTTATAATACATATATAATAATTCCAATTATTATTAATAATATAATATAAAATAATATATTAATTATATGATACCACTTTTAAAAATATAATCACCATGAATTAGATTTAATATTATAATATTGTTGTATAGAATTGTTCAAAGGTAAATGAAGGATTCAAGATTTTAGTTATCTGATTTTTATGCAAATTGCTTTTATAGCTGTTTAATTTCGAGGAAAAGAATCAATGGCACCGTCCGTAACTTGCGGAAATGGGGAGCAGGTCGATTACGTTAATTACCTCGTAACTCGCTCCTAAACGCTCCTAAGTTTGCTCGTAATTTTTTATCGTGCCGATATAATTATGTTGTACGACGAGGCGGAATTTTCCCGGTTGTAATCATAATTAAAAACGGTATATGTAGCGGGAAGTCGAAGGACTTCGAGAGATCGGGGAATGAAGTACCATCAGATTTATGCGTTTCGTTTTTTTTTTTGGAAATGTCGGCAATTGACACATCGCAGAGAAACGATTACGCGAACTATGGAATCGTAAATCGCGCAATCATAACATGAGCTTCTTTTCGGAATTTCGTTGTGGGTGTACCGATTTCGAAACGTAGCATGGAAAAATAACGTTCGTTTTATATGCATACGCATATGATTCACACGCGACGATTCTTTTGAAGTTTTGCAGCAACAAACACAGCTTGCTCCTTCTTTTATCCGCGGTACTTCTTTTTTATTAGCCATGAATTTACGATCATCACAATGACTTTTTTCCACCCCGGAATTATCATTGACAAAAATAAAGATTGTTTAAATTTTTTGTTTTAAAAAGCAAGACATTCTTTTAGTTGACATTATAATAACTTTTCTAAATAGCGGCATATGAGCAGCAGTAAGAAAGTAAAAGTTTGTCACGTAGTTAATAACACAGTATTATGCATAAGTAAATAAGATTAGTAAAAATTATTTTAAGACAGTATGTAAATAATGCGTACGTAAATTGTTTTCAGATAAATATGGTAAATATGTATATTTTTAGAAATATTTTTAAATATATATTGATAAAGTAAAGTTTCTACGTTTTCTATTACATAAAGGAAAAAATTGTCTATATATTAAATTCTGCCAAAATACGATCAGTTCCAGAAAATATTATCAGAAGAATTTTGATGTATAGCTTAATATTTTCTTTTTCTTTTATAAAAACATAAATGCATGTAATTGTACAATATTATATTATGCAATAAATAATTTTTTTTATGTTGTAATTAAACTAAAATATCAGTTTTAAATGTAAACTTTGTCAATGAATTAATTCTCTCTGACATAGATGAATCACTGATCTAAGGAGTTCTCTTATGAGACGAAGAAAGCTCCGCAAAGTGTAATTTAGTTATGAACACACAGCTCGCTCGTGTTCATTCGTCGTCGTAGATTTTACGATGTACGCCCAGATCGCTAAATGTATGTTGACGACGACCGAAAATAGAGCCGTTGACGTCAAGGGTACCAAACGCGCGCGCGCACGCGCGCGAAATCATGAAACATACAAGCATAATGATCGCATTCGGCACGGCGAGCATTACTACGAGCCACGGGTTACGTGCCTGTCGTGTATACGTCGCATAAACCAGCTAAAACGAACGCCAAGTCGTTAAAACCTAGCTACCGTCCTTCCGGTAACTCTTGCGACATATCGATCTCGATTTAATTTTGACCGTCTCTGAGCAGAAGCGAGAGATCGATAACGATCGCATTCGTCATACATATTTTGTTATTGTAGTCGAGAAAATGGGCGCTATATAAAGGTGACAAAATGAAATAATAATCTCTTTCTTTAATTGATATAACTTTTTAGGTGTGTTTGATCTAACTTGTCCGAAGCGCCGCGCCTATTAGACAAGAGAAACTGCACGATTCATTTTACCTGATTTACTGAAAGAATTAATTTATTTTATGACTAAATTATAACTTTTCAATATAAACCAATACAATCTTGATAATGTTTTAATTTGATAAATTTTTGAGCACTCGATTTCTTCTTTTATTCTCCGTCATTATTTTAAAAACTTAATTTTCTAGATGCAACTATTATCCGCATAGTTTGTTAGATTGCGACACCACCGTTTAATTCTCTTACATTTCACATTGTAATTCAATGTTTCTGAAAATTCCATGAAAACATTTCCAATTGGCGAAGTGAATTACGCACTTATGCAATTTTTGCCAATAATTATACATAATTGAACTAGGAAAACTCACGTGCTCTGATGACTGACGTATTCCGCAGACGAGCTTATCTTTTTGGATAAACTAAACACGACCGCGACGAGCAGCTTGTATCGCTCTTTTCCTCCCTCAAACATTTATTCAAATGGCGCAATTTTACAACGTAATTTCGCAGAAGAAATGGCCCGGCCGTCTCGCAAATATCGCGCGACATCGGATCTATTTTTCATCTTCCCACTCCCTCTCTCGCCCCCTTCTTTGCCTCGACTAATATAACCGCAACGTATCCGAATTGAGAATTGTTTTTGATCGACTGTACATAAATAATAGCCGGCGTGTTATACTGAGTGACGTATCGATTGACGCAGCTCCATTTATATTTATTTAGTTCTCTCGTGCACACAATGCCGAATAAATATTTTAATTTGCATATCAAATCTACTCCTTCTTTTCTTTTATTTAAACAACGTCGTTGCAATAATAAATTATATGTTGCACATTTAAATGGGATGTAAATATTTAATATGCAAACAGGGAGGTTTACATATTTTATGGGAACAGAGATTGCGCCTGTCCAACATTTATACCTTGATGAATTTTTTCCATCTCGTCCGTTAAAGATAATTACAATAATGTAGATTAAGTTTGAAAAAAGTTAACTTTTTAAATCTGATTTTAATATTAGCATAGGAAGTTGATAATCGGATGGGAATTTACTTAATTTTCCGACGTCGAAAAGATTAAAAAATGCACCCACGCGTCGACACCCGAGCCTCGAGCTTTTCGAGTGCGGCGCAGAAGGTGGTGCATCGAGATTCGAGACTTGGTTTCTTTCGGCCATAAAGCTTACGGCAGCTCGGGAACGAGCTTCGGAAACCGGTTCCGAGACATTTGTGTTTCTCTCTCATGCACGCGCGTCACACATATCGCGTGTGCATACGTGGTAAACCGCCACAACTCGGCCTGTCAACCGGCCGGTAGGGAGAAAAAGGACGTCGGTTTTCTTTGCGATTTACGATTCACTGTAAAGTTCATTACGACCGTGCCGCGCAATCGAGAGAACTCCATGCATAATTCAGGGAAAGGACTCTCAAAAACAGCGTCGCGTTTTTTCGCAGGATTTCCATCGGAAATCTCCGCTCTTTTCGGCGGCTCGACTCCAAAATCGTTAATGATATTAATGACTTTCAAAGCGAGCAGCTCTTGTCTTAAATTTTCAAGTGACAAATTCGACATTAAGTCCGACGAAAATAAACGAAGCACAATAGTGTTGCACAATATTGAAACTAAAACGCATATATAACAATTTCTTTATTTATCGGATCAAATCGATCTTGGACTGGTCCCGCGTGTAAATTCGCGTGCGATTGCATGTTGTAATGCAGAGAAAGGACCGCGTGAACGGGTCCGTTCTGTCACGTGCACGCGCGACGCGACAGCGCGATATAGACGAAGGAGTAGACGGCGGAGTAGCGCAGTCGGTTTTCCGCCGGCGTCGTGCGTGTACATGCGAGAAAGAAGATATACGGCAATTCGCGTGTATTGTGCGTGTGCCGTGTGCAGCGTGCCTGTGAAAACGCAAAACGCAAAAATCGTCCTTGACGCGCGCGAGCGCGTGTAGGCGCGATCCCTCCTCTCGTCTCTTCGCTGTCTGGATACCGGAGCAAA